ACAGAGAGAGAACACAGAACTACTTGAGACAGCTCACGAGTGGGCAAACTCTGCTCCCTCAAGCCCAGCAGTGCTGAACTGCTTTAAATCCCAGTTTGTCCTGCTTCCCATTGACCTGACAGCAGGGAGCCAAGGAGAAGATCCAGGGCTTATTTAGGTGGTCAGAACCAAGAGGCCTCCCTGGTACAAGTTTACTCACAGGATGTAAGAGCTCCAACAGCTCTCACAGACTGGAAGGTCCCAAATCCTTATTTCAGCTCCCAGTGACCTGAGTGAAGTTCAACAACAACTTCCAAGAGCACAAGGAGCAAGGTATCAAATACTACAGGGTATTCCAGAAATTTCCACTCCATTTCAAGTCCCATCTTTCCCTTAAAAACAGAGATTTCTAAGAACTTGGAGCCAACAGGGCAATTGCTGCAAAATATTCATTTGTGCTTTTCCAGATGTTATTTTTTCAGGATATGTTGGTCATGTCACAGTTATTTTATGCACTGATAGAGCTGATCTGTGCTCTGCAAGTACAAAATGCTAATGAACACATAAATAAAATAAAATAAAAGCTGGTCCAAACCTGGATGTCATTACACAAAGTCAGGGGAAAGGTCTTCTCATCAAATATTTATCACTGTTCAGGTCACTTCTGAATCTTTTGCAGCTGCTCAGCCTTTCCCATTTTTTGTGAAAACGAGGGCAGTTTCTGGAGATTGCCCAATTGCTACTGAATGTCCAATTTTATTTTGGATATTCAGGGATCTTTCACAGAATCATTTAGGTTGGAAAAGACCTTTGAGAGCAGTGAGTCCAACCTTTGACCTTCCAGGTCAAGCAAAATTCTTCTTTGTGATGTACATTACCTACCAAAAAATTAAAATACTGGAGTTCCCTATCTCCAAAGAAGTTCCATCACGATAATCCACAAAACCAGGGATTAAATTTACTCTTATTTCCTCACGACACTTCAAGTGGAAAAAACACATTGGCAGAAGACATTTGGATATTTTGTTATAAGGGATAATAAACAAAAAAACAAGAGAAAGGAAAAGATTCTTCTTTACCTGGGTCTTGGCACTCTTCTGTCTTCTCCCAAAAATGCAGGACAGGTCCTGTTCAGTGCGTGATGAGAGATCCTTACCTGGAAGGGGGAAAGAGAGGGAAAAAAACCAAAATCTTCACATCTGAGGATGCATTTTGGTAACAGTGTGACCCACAGACAGAGAGGAACTGCTCTTGGAGATAAAACAAAAATCAGGAAATCCAGGTTGGATGGGGCTTGGAGCAAACTGGGATAGTGGAAGGTGTCCCTGCCCATGGCAGGGGGTTGGAATGAGATGAACTTTAAGGTCCTTTCAAACACAAACCATGCTGTGGTTCCATGCTAAAGCCACTAAATGAAGGTACACAAGAGGAAATGTGTGTATGTATATGGATCTTTGGATTCTCACAAGGATTCCCCATTTCTGACAGAATTAGAGAGTTACAGCTTCTCCACACAACAAAAAAAAAAAATCCATTTCTACTCAATGGAGACTTTTCTCCAATTTCTGATGTTGCTTCTGAAAAGCAAAATCTCCACCCCTGCCACACACTGGGTTATTCCAAACAAAAAATCCATTTCAAGGGTGAAGCAAAGATTTCCAGGAGGGTCATTATTCCCATTTGATTGTTCTGTGGTGAGCTGGATATCAGACATGGAGCAAGGAGGGGGAAACAGGAGGGTCTGATGTGATATTCAGAGATACAGGCAAAGGTTTAGCCAATTCCAGAGTGCAGGAGTTGCTGAGTTGTCCACTGCCTCTGTCAGAAAATTCTTTTGGAAAAGGCCAGCAAAGTTAAAGAAACAAAATTAACCCAGACAGGTCAACTTGTTAAGACTCTGCTGGGGTCTCAATCACTTGATTTTCTGATTCCAAAATCAGTGACATCAAAATGAATCTCGTAATGGCCAAAAAAACACAAAACAAAACAAAACAAAACAAAACCAAAACCCCCAAATCTGACTACTTCTTTTTCCTGAGATCCTTAACTGCCCCTGGAGGGTAAAGAGACACATCAGCCTAGAGGAGCAAGTGGTGTTTCCTGGCTGTTTTCAGCTTTCTCTTGGCCAAGGCTTGGAATGTGACACCTAAAATCCTCCTGCTCCCATTTTCAGGCTACACTTCCTTTCCGTGCCTCCCCCTGGATGTATCCCCCATTTTTCCTCTAACAGAAAACCAACTCAGCTGACAGCCCCAATCTCCTGCAGCATCACAGGGGAGCAGCTAGTAGAAAAGCAGCTGAAATTAGGGTTTTAATCTGAGCTTGGGGTGCATTTCCCAGATGCAGGGGTGGCTGTTCCTGCAGCCCCGGGAGCGGAAGCCGCGTTTGGTGCCGTCGCTGTTCCCTTCTCCCGCTTTTGTGTGAGCTTGTCTTGTTTAGTCTGAAAGGAAGCACGACTGGACTTCAACAACAAGGGCCATGACAACATGAGCCTTTCTCAAACAACTTTTCCTCTTTCCCTGAAAAAAGACAGTTTCCCTGTGTCAGGCCACAGAGGGTACAAGAAAATGAGGGGCTGCCCTGTGGAAACGTGACCAAACAGATCAGGGATATTGTGAATATGAAAGCCTTGTGCTGTATTCTACATGCTCAAAAGACACTTCTTTTTTTCCTCTATATTTAGTAAAAGGTTAAATCCAAATCAAAATAAATCCTCTTTGCTCACACAGGCCATGGCCTCTGTACTTGTGAGCCCTGAACCAATTTAATTGTTTAATATCATAAAGTGGCAGGCTCATGGTAACAGCTTGGACTTCAAGGTCGAATTATTTCACCAAAAATCCCAAACCCTGACATGAAAATCTGGCCTTCATTCAGGTATCAATTAGCTCTGTTTTAGCAAAGGCATTTGCTGTCAGAAAACATTACACAGAGCTTTCAGTTTAATAAATCAGCCATTAGTGGAAACTGATCCTATCCATGCCCTGAAACACACATACACTGTGTCAAAGGGGAACAGGGCAAAAGGGAAAGGACTGAACTGTCAAGGGCCAGAATTTGGGCTGACTGAAATAATGTCATCACTCTAAGAAACAAAGAAATACTAAACTCCACAAGTTCTTGACAGAGTTCTTCTGGCTGCCCTAATTTATCCCATAAAGTACCTGGTCGATGTAAGAGGGCTTTCCTCTTCCTTCATGCAGGTTTAATCTGATCCCTGATCTCATCCACATGATCTCTGAGCAGGGGTTACTGGGGATTGCAGGGGTTAGTGCCATGCACATGCCCAGCTCGCTCCCATCTCATCTCACCTTTGCCTCCTGCTCCCATCCCTGCCCATGCTGGGAATATTTGCTGCTCCTTTATTCACTAAGGAATTGTTTTATGCCCAACATCAGCAGCCTAAGGCCATCCAAAATTGCCCAAAATACAGAGGAACAGCACATTAGAGCTTTAAGCAGGGGGTGTTTCTAAACCAAGGTTTTATTTGCCAAATTTAGATTCCACAAGGCAACAGATCACCTTGAGCCTTGATGTTCTAATCTTGGCCAGGCTTATGAAACAACAAAACTCCTCTTACCTTTGGCAAACTTCATATAATGGACACGTTTCTTGGAGGATTTGGATTTTTCTTCAAGGCTGAATGTCTTTTTCTGCTTTTTTACACAGGACTCTAGAAAAAACAAACCCCAAACAAACAGGGTCCAGCTGTGTTAGAGGCATTACATACCAAATTCAAACATCAGTGTAATTAACTTTCTCTCTCAAAATTCAGTCAACAACATGTCATAAAGTATTACTGAAGGAAGCATTCTAAGTTTTGTCTGAAATATGTCAATGCTTGATTTTTTTTTTTACCCCAACCCTTTTCTTTCCCATTTCCAATTCAATGTAATTTGAAAAGGCAGAAACAGGTACTCCAGGTCAAAGGCAAATCCATCTCTGTGGTAAGAAAATAATAATAATGCTGTTTTTCATAGAGTATCTCCAGCACCAGAGTCTGAGAAACATGAAGAAATAGTAGGAAATAAAATTCTGATTGAGCAGAAAGAAAAAGGAGGGAAACCCTCCCCACAGGATTTTCATTTCTAACCCTACACAAAATATCTTTATTTGGACATAAGCTGATACATCTGTGTAAGGAAACTGAACGGTGACAAAGCTTTTCTGTCCCTGAGGCCAGCTAGAACAAATTGCCACATCCCTATTATCTCATTTTCCAGGCTTCCAGAAGAGGGACTGCATCTAAAGTGTCCTCTGGGAATGGTCTCTGGGGCTGGCTCAGTCCCAGAGTCACTCAGGAGTACTTTGGGGGACTGTGAGCAGGTTAAAGCCACATGAAGGATTAACCTCACCCTTTAACAGCACAGAGATCACGTTCCTGTGCTGTGCCAGGTTATTTTGGGGGTACAAATGTTCTCTTTGCAGCCACAGAGCCTGTTAATTTACAAAACATTGCCAGAAAGAGAGAATTAACCTGTTGTACAGTTAATTACTGCTTTACTAGTCCTGAAAAGAGGCACCACAGCAGTCTCTGCTCTGTAGCTCCACACAAGGTTTCTATGGTGAGGTGGTTTTTTTTCCTCCCTGTGGGATGGGTAGGGAAATCAACCCATACCCCGAGGGCCAAGTTGAGTCACCTTTTTTATAGGATCCCACCCTGGAAAGCTCTGCTGCCCAAGCTTTTCTGACACTGCAGTTCCAGCACTTCTCTGTTTGATAGGCAAATAATCCCTGAGCTAAAACTGAAATCCTCAGCCTGCAGTGGGAGAGCTGAGGGCCAGCAGGCTGAGATCCACTCTCCCACTCCCACACTAGTGGGAAGAGAAAGGACCAGCAAATCCCAGTTTTTAACAAAAAATCCTCAATAAAAAGGGTCTGTGGGGAAAGTAAGGATCACAACTAAAATATCCTGACAGGGATGGAGCACTTTGAGCTCGTTTCCAATCTCCTGGTAGCAAAAGGAGCATTACACAGCAAAGAGTTTCCACAGAGCCTTCCTCCTCCACGTTATTCCTACAGGGAAAGGGGCAGCAGCACCGCCTCGTGCCTGCAGGGAGGAATTTCACTACAGAACCTGCTGGCACTTGCAGTGGGCAGGGAAATAGAAACACATCCCTGTGTCTTCCAGGGACTGGAAAATCCTCTGACAAACTGAGCAAACAGTGCAGGAATATTAATGTGCTTTTTAAAGCAATTTAGTCGGGGAAATAAAGTAACCAAAGTGACATTTCTGCAGCAAATGTGATTGAGGCAGATGTGCCAAAGCACAGCCAGGGTGTTGTTCCCACTTTTTATCCGTGGGAAAGGGACAGTCACCATCACTGAGGATCCCAGTAAAAGAGCCAGGAATTATAGAATGGTTTGGGTGGGAAAAGACCATGTAGTTCCAAACCCTGCCACTATCCCAGGTTGCTCCAAGCCCTGTCCAGGCTGGCCTTGGACACTTCCAGGGATCCAGGAGCAGCCACAGCTTCTCAGGGCCTCACCATCAGTGGATTAATTTCTTCCTAATATTTAATCTAATCTAAACTTGCCTTCACTGGGTGCTCAGCCAGAAAAAAAAACAAAAAACCAAAACCAGCTAAAGCTACATCCACTGAGGGTATCTGAATGTTGGCATCAACCCCCACAGGGCCCTTCCTTTCCGACCTCTAATTGCAATCCAGCTCTGGCAACTGCACCAGTTCTTTAAGAACAATGAAGTTTTTCAGCTGACTTTTAATGCAGTTTAAAACTGGAGGATGGCCAATAGTGTAACATTTGCTCCTGCAGCACAGCTGCAGGCAGAGTTTTTTCTGGATGAGTTTTGCCAGCTTCAACAATTGCCAAAAAAACAAGTTTCAGAGTGGTGCCTTTCTGTATCACCAAACGTGACTCTGACCTGGAATTTTCAAGGTGCACCCAACTTTGTTCTCAGTGATTGTAAACTTGTTCCAGCTCCTAAAAGAACCAAAAGAATTGAGTGAAACAGGGAGAAATAAGGGTTTCCAAGGGTCACTTTGCATCAGGTGACCCAGGGAAGAGTGCAGAGCTTAGAACCAAGCCTTGCTCCCTGAACCTGCCTCTGCTGACTCAGCGTGGCCCTGGGCAAGTCATTTCAGCTCTCTGCTCATCAGTCTGCAGGTTTCCCACCAGTTACACCTCCCTGATCTTCCCAGGGCTCAAGCTGCAACTTGGGTAGAATTTACTTCTGAAGGGAGACAGGAACTTCTGGAATTTCCCCATGAAATGCTCTCCTACCTCTCCAGAAGCTGAGTGACAGCACTGAGTCCTTGGGTGGCCTCATGACCCCACAAGTACAACTTGCACAGCAAATTAAAAACTGTGTTTTGAGGCATCAGGCTCAGAATTTTAATCCTCGTACTCCAAGATTAGAAAATTTCCTTGCTAACTGATCTTCTTCCTGTTCTTCCTGTTTTCTCTCCTAGAAATTCTTCTGTGCTCAAAGGTTAGGAATGAATGAATGAAAGGTTGCTAAATTCACTAATTTGGCAATTCTGCCCCAGCAGCACAAGGACAGGCTGTGTCCAAGCAGGAGCCCCTGGTTTAACAACACTCCAGAGAGGTGTTCAGATATAAAATCAGAGTTTAATCTGAGTTTAACTAAAGGAGAGATGATAAATCACTTGATAAACCAATGCTTTTTCTAAGCTCACACCCACCACAACTTCTTAACTTAATTTTCACAAAGCAAGATCAGTTTGTAAGAAGCTTTTCCAAAACAGAAGACTTTAAAAATAGCCCTTTTGGGAAAGCTTCCCCACTTGTGTGCTCAACACCAGGGCTACAAAAATCACTTTATGCCACACTCAAAGCAGAGATGCAGAACTCTGAAGCAAAAGCTTCAGAGCAGCTCTCCAAGGACAGGAAAAGAAGGTATTTAAGAAGCCACTGGAGCATGGAAGCCAAGTGTGACAGTCCATCAGCAAAAGGAAGGCAAAGCATTGCAGTGCTGAGTGATTGTTGTGAGCCTTCAGACAGATTCTGGGTGCTTTATAAAGAAATGTTCCTCTAGGTACAGCACAGGGAAAGTGTCCCAGATATTGTGATCCTGGATGAAATAAACAGGTTTAGCATTTTATGTTTTCTTTCCTCAGCAAAAAGCCTTTGAGTCCTGAGAGCAGAACTGATCCACTGAGATCCACAAATCCATGATCATGGCAACACATCCCAGTGATTTTAGGAGAAGAAAAAGGAGTTCTCAACCTTACTAAAAATACTATTTGCATCACAAACTGGGCCTCAGGAACTTTTTTAAGACACAGAATGGAAACTCTGCTGAGCTTCCAGCATCTGATTGAGCCAAGCATGAACCTACCTGTTTCACCCTGTCCATGGCAGTTATTCAGCTCAGCCAGAAGCTGGTTGAAGTCATCCTGATGAGCAATCCAGTTGTCCTGTAAATATCACCCACATGAACACAAGGCAGAAGTCTTCAGAACTAACATTAAGTTTTACAAAACAGATATTAAGACTGTTAGAAGTAAATTAATTGGACATATCCAATCCTTGTTGGTGGGAGGGACCCAGGGAAGGCCACAGGTGGTAACAGCAACCACAGCTCCTACAGTCACCCCAAAGTGACATGAAATTAAAAGGGTTGTCTTGGCAAGCCCTGAACAATCCAATTTGGTACATGCTACCACCAGCTGTGACAACAGATTTCATTAATATTCCATTGAAATAATTGTGGTTTTGCAGAAATGGGATCCATTCCCTGGCCTGGGTCTAGTGCTCACCTCATGATTGATGGCAGCTCCTAATCCCAGTGTGTCGTTTTTCACCTTAACTCTGATGTGTTCTGGATTTCCTTGCTCCTGAGCCCCGAGACCCTAAGGAGGATTTGAAGGCAAAATTTTAAGGATTTTACAGCAGCAATTAGAGATTTTGGACTGTAAGAAAATTCACAAGAAAATACAGCAAGAAATCACAACTTGCTATTAATCTGCCTGCTTGTAGCTGAATTCATTCCCAGGCATTACCACACAACACACACAAAGTTTTTTAAATTACTACTTAAGCCTCCAGCAAAGCATTAGAAACACTAAAATAGCAACAACATTAAGCAGTTGGATGATTAATGAGGAAGGCACCTGACATTCCTAAGCAAGCCCAAAGTATTTTCAGTTTTCAAACAAGACACTAAACAAGAAGAACGTGCCTCTCCCCAAAAATATCTCTGTCACTGGGAAGGGTAATGGGAGTAAGGCAGATCCACATGGAACACACAATCCAGACCAAATTTATATGGGAGGAGAGCAGGGAGGGACAAGGGAGAAGCAGACTGGAGCCAGCAGGACACTCACAACTCCTTCCACCTCATAAGTGGATGAAAATATTGGAGGAAACAACTTTGGAGTTGTTTAATATGAAGCAATATTCAAGTCCAGGGTTATCTTTCTGAACTCTATGGTCAAGGCTAAAAAATTAAAAGGCAAAGCTTTGGGTTTAAAACTTTGCTCCTGGTATTTACCTGCCTCACCTGTCACAAATCATCAGCCAAATGTGTTAGAATTAATAAACATTTACGTGGTGCTGCAGTGGAGAGATGCCCTGCAGGCACATCCTGGATATTGAATATTTGAAGGGATGAGGCCTATTTGGAAAAGGATGTTGCTATTACAAACAAAGAAGAGTTGATTTGGTCAATGGGATGGAAAATTTACCTTGAAAGTTCTGCTGACCAAATAGTCTGAAAGCAAGCAGGACACTTGGCCACACATCCTTCCCTGACCCAATTCCAGAACAACCAATTACAGGACTGGTGTTAAGCAGCCTCATTTCACTGCCCAGATGGGCTTTTGCCCTTTAATTTGATCAAGGGAAAGTTCCATTTGTCCATTTTTGTAATGGAATGGAGACATAAATCCTTCTTGTACAACTGCTGGCAAGGAAGATCCAGTATATGGAGTGGGAAACTTGTGAAACAACTGAGGCAACAGTTTAAATCCAAAAATAGGTTTCAAGGCATTTAGAGAATTGAGAATTATTCTAATTTTATGCCTTTTAAGGGAAATCTGGAAGAGGAAATCCAGAAGAATAATTAAAGGTAGTTGGTGTTTTGTGGGGATTCTTATCACTAAACACCCTGATGTGCAGCCCCAAATTTCAGCTTTGCTGAAGCACCTCTGTGGAATTAAACCTGCAGTTTGCAGGTGCCTGTGCTGACCTGGAGGTTTTTATTAGTGCCAGGAAAGAGTCCCCTCACCCACAGGTCCTGGCTGGAGCTGGGAAGGGACACAGTTCACAGCATTGGGGATTCAAGGAACAGATCAGAGAAAATTCTTAAAACCAAGTGAAAAACTAAAGCAGGTCCTGGAGCTGCTTTAAAGAGTATCAAAAGCAGGGAAAGAATTGAGGATTTAAAGCAGCTTAAAACCTTTAACCTGATTTAATGTCCCAACTCTTGCTCTCACTTGAGAATTTAGATTGTCAAAGAATGGAGAGAAACTGGAAAGCAGGAGAGGCACAAACAAGACTTTGCAACAAAGTGTGGAAATCCATGCACTTAAGAGAATAAATCAAAGGAGAGTCCCCTGGCAGTTTTAGACCCTTCAGCTACACAATTCTCCTTTAGATCCTACCTTTCCTTTGGACCAGCCCATCTTTTCCAGCATCTTCTGGCCAAATTTGGAGTCATCATTGCTCCAGGCACTGTTTCGTGGATCCACAGACCATTTCTGCTTCCTCCGGGCTGCAGCAGGAAGGGGAAATTCAAACAGGCTCTACTGGCATTCCCAGAGAGTTCTTGGGATTGAATCAGTTCAAACAAAGCTCTTCATTGCAAAAAAAACCCAAAAAACCCACTCCAGAACTTATTTTGAGGGTTAATTTTACTAAATAAAAAACTCCACAACAATAAAAGCCCAGTGAAAATATTAATTATTAATGGGAAGATGCCAAAGTAGGATTGCTACGGAAGTTGCTGTCCCTCAGGATGGGCTGCAGTCCAGGGAAGGCTTTAAGGATTATCATTTAGGTGTAAATTCCATATTTATTCCAATTTGGTTTACATCTGGCTTCAACATGGAATCTACAGGAGAAGAGATTATGAGGCTGCTTTCCCAGTTCTGGACAAAATCAATTCTCCAAGCTTCCCTTTAACCAGAATCCAGAAATTTTAATATTTGCCTTCCTAACATCAAAAATCCAATGTAAGTGAACAGAGAAAAGGAATGACAGAACACAAACCCGTGGGATTTCAGCTTTTGGAATTCTGAAAAAATGATTTATGGGGAAACTGAAAAGCTGCCAGAAATTATTGCAGGAGTTAAGAGATGCAAAGGAGGATCAAGAGTCCTTTGTCCTATGTGGATTCCTAAAGAAATTACAGATTCCCAGTCCCACATATTGCCTTTCCCACCAGGAACAGCTTCCTTGAAATCAAGGAAGAGCAGCCAGCCCAGTTAACCATTCACTTGAAGTGTGCACCTAAGCCCAGGCAGGAAGAGAACCTAAATAAACAAGACAAACAAAGAATGGGAGACAGGAAGATCACAAACTTCATTAAACACCATGGGAAATGCTGCATCAAAAATGACCGGGTAACCCAAGGCCACACAAAGGCAGCGAGAAGCCAAATCCAACGAGGTGTTTTCAATGTAATCAGGAAGTCATCGTTCCCTAAAAGACAAGATTTGGGATTTGGGCCAGAGGGACTGAATATTACAGGGATGTTTGATTCATTTTTTGCCCAGTTTTGTTTCATTTTTAAGGAACTAAGACTGTCAGAATTCAAGGTGGGGGCTTTTTTTGAAACATTTCCGAAACTTTGAAGCTCCAAACAGTCCCTAAACAGTTTTTGAAGTGGGTTAAAGGCCCAAGGGCTGTGAGGGGAATCCACCCTTGGCCTGGTTCACTTCTCTACAGGAAACAACTTATTAACCTCAGAGGTTGTGGCTGACCCTGGATCCCTTGAAGTGTCCAAGGCCAGGCTGGATGGGGCTTGATGCAACCTGGGATAGTGGGAAGTGTCCCTGTCCATGGCAGGGGGCTGGAATGGGATGAGCTTTAAGGTTCCTTCCACCCCAAACTATCCTGGGATTCTGTGATTATTCCCACCAGGAAACCTTGAGAGCAGCAACTCCTCCAAGCCCTGTCCATGCTGCCAACAAAAGATGGGGAAGCAGCACTGTGGTCTGTGATTTTAAACTTCCAAACAAATTGGGATTCTCTGCTGCCCCATGGAGAACCACAGGGCTCAGCCTGGAGAAAAGGAGGCTCAGGGGGGACCTTGTGGCTCTGCACAACTCCCTGACAGGAGGGGACAGCCAGGTGTGGGTTAGGCTCTTTTCCCAGGGAAGAGGGATAGGATGAGAGGAAATGGCCTCAAGCTGTGCCAGGGGAGGTTTAGATTGCACATGAAGGAAAAAATTCTCCATGAAATAGGTGGTCAGCCATTGGAAGGGGCTTCCCAGGGCAATGGAGGAGTCCCTGTCCCCGGAGGGATTTCAAAGCCCTGTGGATGTGGCACTTGGGGACATGGCTCAGTGGTGGCCTTGGCAGTGCTGGAGGATTTTTGGACTTGATGGTCTTGGAGATCTTTTCCAGCCTCAGTGATCCTGGTTCAAGGATTCCAACAGATCTTCTGCTCCCCAGCTGAGCAGCTGCCCTTCTCTTCAATCTCAACTTCAAAAGTGAATTTCTATGGTTTTTCCTGAATATCTCTCCCTGTGGAAAAGCCCTTGAGATGTTTTTGCTCCTAGGAGGTTGTTGGTAACAAAGCACAAGGGCACCTGACACAAACATTTCTTGAAATTTAGAGACCTTCCCTTTCCCAACACTTTCAATCTAAGTATTGCAAACTTCTGAGCTACACTGTGGGATTAATCCTCACGTTTCTGACAGGTTAACATACTCTGATTTTTAAATATGGCGAGTGAGATGCAGGCAAAAGCCCCAAAAAATTTCTTTCATCTTTAGAGAAGTATTTAAGAAAGCCAGGAACAGCTCCATGCCATTTCCAGAAAATATAAAATCATCTTCCCATTCCAAACAGCAAAATCCACTAATTACTCGATAATTTACCAGAAATGTTTGTTCACTGATGTCTTTGGAGTGGGAGAGAAACAAGGTACAAGACTCAACTCCTAATTTAACACCAATTTTCTGGGCTGCTTCAAAAGTGATGCCACAGACGGTGATGGAACTCTGGGAGAGCAGCACCACCCAGTGGAGAAAAATCCTCATTTCTTTAGGGAATCACAGAATTACTGGGGCAGGAAAATACCTCCAAGAGTCCAACCATTCCCCAGCACTGCCAAGGGCACCACTGTCCCATGTCCCCAAGTGCCACACACAGGGCTTTTAAATCCCTCCAGGGATGGGGATTCCTCCACTGCCCTGGGCAGCTGTGCCAGGGCTGGACAATGCAAATTCTTCACTCAGATATTCTACAACCTGGAAAAGATCCATTACCAATCAATTTTCCAAGATGAATTCTATGCCTGGAGTATGTTTTTAATGATAATTTCTGAAAGTTCCCATCCAAACCCCTGCTGTGTGCCCAAAGATGGTCTGGAGGCACAGGAAGGACAAGGCTCTGGAGCCAGGCTGGGAGAGCTGGGGGTGCTCACCTGGAGAAGAGAAGGATCCAGGGAGAGCTCAGAGCCCCTTGCAGAGCCTAAAGGGGCTCCAGGAGAGCTGGAGAGGGACTGGGGACAAGGGATGGAGGGACAGGACACAGGGAATGGCTTCCCACTGCCAGAGGGCAGGGATGGATGGGATATTGGGAAGGAATTGTTCCATGAGAGGGTGGGGAGGCCCTGGCACAGGGTGCCCAGAGAAGCTGTGGGTGCCCCTGGATCCCTGGAAGTGTCCAAGGCCAGGCTGGATGGGGCTTGGGGCAGCCTGGGATAGTGGAAAGTGTCCCTGCCCATGGCAGGGGGTTGGAACTGGATGAGGTTTAAGGTCCCTTCCACTCCAAATGAGTCTATTATTGATATGTCCAATTAAAATAATGAACAAATTCTGAAAAAATGACACCAAAGTTTACACTGAAAATATCTAAAAAATTCCATTTGTTTTCCAGATTTTCCATTCCATCCAAATTTGTTTTTCTCAAATCACATCTTTATTTCCCACTGTAAACCATATTTGTTATTTGTATTGTCCATATTTGTAATTTGTATTTATATTTCCTGCAGCCCAGCAAAGAAATTCACCAGATCCTGAGCTCTCAATCAAGGGTGTCCTGTCAGGAATGGGGAGCCCAAGCTTTCAATCACCTCAGAGGCAACAGTGAAGTTTTTTGTTTCCAGTAGCAGGGAAATTGAAACAAAATTCACAGAATCATGAAATATCCTGAGCAGGAAGGGACCCACCAGGATCATCCAGTCCAACCCCCAGCCCTGCACAGACACCCCAACAATCCCACCCTGTGCATCCCTGAGAGCATTGGCCAAACACTCCTGGGGCTCTGGCAGCCTTGGGAATGTCACCATTCCCTGGGGAGCTGTTCCAGTGCTCAAACACCCTCTGGGGGCAGAACCTTTCCCTGATATCCAACCTAAACCTGACCCAGCTCCAGCCGTTCCCTGGGTCCCGTCCCTGTCACTGCGAGCAGAGATTGGAGCTGCTCCTCAGGAGGAGCTGCAGCCTCAGTGAGGTCTGACCTCCATCCCCTCCAGCTGAACAAACCCAGGGCCTTTGGTCACTCCTCGGGTGGCCCCTCCAGACCCTTCCCCACCTCCAAATCTTCCTCTGGAGGGTCTCTAAAAGCTGGAGATTGGCACAGGTTGAGCTCAGCTCCAGCACTGCCCCAGAAATGACCCAGTACCAACACCCTGCCCTGCCACATCCCCTGAGTGTCCCCAGCACCCAGTCCTGCCGCATTCTCTGGGTGTCCCCAACAACAACACCCAGCTCTGCCATGTCCCCCAGGTGTCCCCAACACCCTACACCCTCGGGCTCCAGAGCTTCCCTAAAACACAGAGATGGCCCCGAGGCACTGACAGGACAAGCTGTCCCTAAAGGTGTCCAAGGGACATTCCTGCTGCTCCTGCCCTGCCTGGGACACGACAGACCCCATAAAGAATCCTCCTGCACCCCATTACCCTGCACCAATATCCCCTTTCCGGCCATCCCAGCCTCCAGACCCTACCTTTACCTTAATCCTGAGACCCTCTGAATGCCCCTTCCTGCCTTTCCCAGACCCCAGATCCCCCCCTACCTTTACCTTAATCCTGAGACCCTCTGAATGCCCCTTCCTGCCTTTCCCAGACCCCAGATCCCCCATTTTTCACTCCCAGGGACCCTTGAAGCGCCTTCTCTGCCTCAGCCCAGGTCTCCAAGCTCTCAGTTCCCCTTCTCCTTAACCCTAGGATCCCCCACACCCCCATTCCTGCCTTTCTCAGACCCGAACCCCTTCGTTCTTCAACATCGGGGACCCCCTGAGCCCCTTTAGCCTCCCTGGCTTGGCTCTCCCAGACCCCTTGTTTTCCTAGACATGGGGACCCTCTGGACCCCCATTCCTGCCTCCCCAGCTCCCCAGTTCTCCAACACCGGGAGCCCCCTGAACCCTTTTCCTGGCCATCCCAGGGTCTCCCCACCCCATGACCCCTCCTTCCCCTGACACAGGGACCCCATTTCCTGGACAGAGGGACCGCTTATACCACCTCTCCCAGCCCCCGCACTCCCTTTTCCTTAACTCTGGAAGCCGCCAGCCCAGCACCGGAGCCCCCCGAACCCCTTTATCCGGCCCTGGGACCCCTCCGCACCCATCGGAAAGGGCAGCGCGGCCCAGACTCCTCAGGCAGGGCTGTGGGGAGGGTCTGGGACGGCTCCGGGGGCACCGGATCGTCCCCATTTTCCCCGGCATTAAAGCGGCATTGCCGCCGGGATCGGCACTCACGCTCCGCCAGCATCGCCATCTTGGGGGCCTCCTTCCATTCACGGGGACTTTCGTGACCTCCGGCGCATAAAGAGGGCGGGCTGAGGAGCGCCTGATTAAAAAAAGTTTTAAAACAGGCGAGCGCGACGGCCACCAAAATAAAAATTAAATATTTAAAAAAAAAAAAGTTTGCAGATTTGCTAAAATTCTAATAAATCTCTCAAAACGCGTCTCGGTTGTGTATCAGCTGTTTCCGAGCCGAGGGAAGGGGATGAGCAGCGCTGGCTGTGACTGGAAATAAGGGGACCGGCATGGTGAATATTGCAGCGAATTTCGGGTGTGGATGTCCCTGGATTTCCCCAAATCTCGCTGTCGTGGCAGGGAACACAGTGGGGGTGATACACAGAGGCATCTTGAGAAATAGCTGAAACATCCCCCTCCTGCCTTTCTGTGAAATGTGTGTGTGTCAGGGGAAAAATTATTTTTTCCTCTCTGCCGCAAATTGTATTTGAGGAGTGAAGCAACGTCTCTGAGGACTCGCTGAATCAAAGCACTTCTATTCAGGAATCTTTTTTTGTAGTTAATTTCTTGAGCCCTTGGTCTTTCATATTTTCTGGGATTTTTAGCATCTCTTCAGTTGTTTTATTTGAAGAACAGCACCCAAAATATGACATGAGTTCTTCAGGCAGCTTCCTCTGGCTTCTTTCTGCCTACATTTTGCAATATTTAATATAATACATAATTTAATATATAAGTGTAATCTTTTTTTCTTTAATATCCCTTTTATAGAAGTGCTGTGTAGAGGTTTTACATTCTGTGCTTGTGGCGTGTGTTAATTCCGTCTTTTCCCCTTTCCTGAACCAGTGTTTTTGTCTTTCCATGTTGTTGTGCTGTTCTGAATTGTGGATATTTGGTGTTTCTCCTTCCCTTTCCCAGCTGGAGTCACCTGGAAGTGCCCTGGGTGTCCTCAGTACCTTGAGTGAGGTTGATGATGGCAGGATTGAGCCCAGACCCCCAGGATGGGTCAGGTTGGAAGGGACCCCAGTGTGTCACTGGTGTCACCTCCCTGCTCCAGCAGGGCCATCCCAGAGCACAGGGTTGTGTCCAGATCATTGTGGAATATCCCAGTGAGGAGACTCCAGACCCTCTCTGGACAATCAGTTCAGTGCTGGGTCACTGCTCATAAAGAAGTTCTGCCTCCTGTCGAGGTGGAACTTGCTGGGATCAGTTCCTGCCCGTTCCTCTGGTGCCATTGCTGGGCCCCTGGAGCAGAGCCTGGGCCCTGCTCTGACCCTCCCTGCACACAGGGACACCCAGGGACATAAAGGGACAGACAGGGACATCCAGGGACACCCAGGGATGAGGTTCCCTCTCAGGATCTCCTCTCCAGGCTGAACAGCCCCAGCTCCCTCAGCCTTTCCTGGGCAGGGAGATGCTCCTGTCCCTTCATCATCTTTGTCACCCTCTCTGGACCCGCTACAGGAGCTCCGTGTTCCTCCTGTCCTGATGATCCCAGAGCTGGACACAGCACTCCAGATGTGCCTCACAGGGCTGAGCAGAGGGGCTGGATCACTCCCTGACCTGCTGGAAATTCTCTTCCTGCTGCATCCCTTTGGCCTTCTTTGCCCTCCAGGCACTGCTGGTCAAGGACACCTTCCCCTATCCCCAGGTCGCTCCAAGCCCCATCCAACCTGGCCTTGGACACTTCCAGGGATCCAGGGGCAGCCACAGCTTCTCTGGGCACCCTGTGCCAGGGCCTCCCCACCCTCAAAGGGAATAATTCCTCTTTAATATCCCATCTATCCCTGCCCTCTGGCAGTATGAAGCCATTCCCTGTGTCCTGTCCCTCCAGGTCCTTGTCCCAAGTCCCCATCCAGCTCTCCTGTAGACCCTCTTCAGGTACTGGGAGGCCACAGTTTGGTCACCCCAAAGCTTCTCATCTCCAGGCTGAGCAAGCCAAATTCCCTCAGCCTTTCCTCACAGCAGATCAGGACAGATTTCCCACTGCTCTTTCTCCATCCATCCTCCCATCTGGATGGCAGCTGGGTTACAGCTCCCCTGGCTCAGCTTTCCCCACTGCTTTGCCTCTGTGCTTTTAGATTTATGTCACAATTCCCTGATTGCTTTGGGAACACTGTGCAAGATAGTTTTTATAAGGTTTTTTGTCTTATTTTTTTTAATAGACAAAGCAAACAAACATTATATCTTTGTCCATTCCTCTCTAAGACCCCTTCTGTCTGTCAGCAAAGTTACATTGGTGTGATGGAGCTTGATCCTGGCAAATCTCGAAATTTATAATTAGCTTGGTGATTTATTTTTAATAGTTCATATTCAGCTCCTATTAAAGTGGCTGCTCTGGCTGCCCCACTTCCTCCTTTAAACAAGGATATTGAACTGGTCCTTTATACTTTTCTGAGGCCATGTCCCACTGCCAGGAATCCTCACATGATTTGTTCTCCCCAGACTTTATTGCCAGTTCTCTGCACTTTCAGGTCACATTCATCAGATTTGACTGATGTGAAAACAAATAAATACTGCCCAGTCTTTCACTATGTGGCAGAGAGATATTTTCCTGTTCAAAAGTTTCACTTAATGCTTTTCTCCAGGAGGAAATCTTTGGAAATCAGAATCAACCATAGAAGAGTCTTCTTTCTGTTTTCATAGAGCCACACAGGATCAGAGAGTCATGGAATTATTTAGGCTGGAAAAAAACCTCCAAGATCACTGAGTCCAACCTCTGACTGATCCCCACTTTGTCACCAGCCCAAAGCACTGAGTGCCACGTCCAGTCATTCTTTGGACACCTCCAGGGATGGGCACTCCAAACCTCCCTGGGCAGCCCCTTCCAATGTCTGACCACCCTTTCCATGGAGAAATTCTTCCTGATGTCAAATTTAAACCTCCCCTGGCACAACTTGAGGCTGTTCCCTCTCCTCCTGTCCCTGTTCCCTGGCAGCAGAGCCCGAACCCCCTGGCTGTCTCCTCCTATCAGGGAGTTGTGCAGAGCCACAAGGTCCCCCCTGAGCCTCCTTTTCTCCAGGCTGAGCCCCTTTCCCAGCTCCCTCAGCCTCTCCTGGTGCTCCAGCCCCTTCCCCAGCTCTGCACCTCCTCTGCTTTCCAGTGCTCACAGGTCACTCACCAGCATCCTCATAGAATCACTCAGGTTGGAAAAAACTTCCAAATCCAACAATTCCCTCAGCACTGCCAGGGCCACCACTGCCCCATGTCCTCAAGTGCCACATCCACGTGGCTTTTAAATCTCTCCAGGGATGGGGACTCCAGCACTGCCCTGGGCAGTCTGTTCCAATGTCTGACCATCCTTTCAGTGAAGTGAATTTTCCCTCATATCCGATCTAAACTTCCTCTGGCACAACTTGAAGCCGTTTCTTCCTCCTTTCAGGGAGTTGTAGCCTCCTCCTTCTCTTCCACCACCACCCAGGCATTCTCTGTAGTGGTCACTCTTTGCTGTCATCTGGATCTGAAGTAAAATAATTTATCCCTCCCTTATCCTTCTACCTGTATTCCCTGATCCAAGCGCCCTTCCTGGCAGTAGCAGCCATTTCTATGAATTATACCTCTAAGATTTCTTTAACATCAATGAAATTGTACTGTCACCCGTGTGTTAAGTGTTTGGATGGTCACTTGTGTGATCCATTTCACACCAGCCGAATTCTGCCCTGGTTTTAATTCTGGAGAGGTTTAAGTCTCCTGGCTGAGAGCTGAGTGTTGTATTTGATCGTTCCAATAGGGAGCAGCATTCCCCACGTTTGGAACAGCTTCTCTGTGGTATAAAGACATCACTGGAGGTGGAAAATGTGAAGTAATTTCTGTTAAAGGATGCCTTGAGGTTGAGATTTTTCTCTTGTTTGGTTTTGAGACTTAATATTCGGCTGCATCAGAGCACTTCTGCCTCCAGAGCTCTCACTCTGGCTGGCAAAGAATCACAATGCAAAATACAAAGGAGGTCATACTTGATTTAATTATTATTTAATATTTGCTTAACGGGTAGCTTGAGGTCAAGGTCCAAATTACCCGACACAGTTCTTGCAAATTGTTTATAAAACAATTAAGTCCCCGAATATGCATAGAGGCAGTGAAATTAGGCAGAGAAAAGGTTCCATCCAGGGGCAATGTGTTTCCCAATTACATTCCTGACTAAAAGCTGGTGTCACAGGAAAGAAAAATAAATGAATGTTTGAATTTCTATTTTCTGCTATGGGTGATTCCAGCCCTCTAAAAAAACAGCCTAAAATCCTGTTTCCAGTGTGCATGGGGAGCTTGAGATGTAGCTCTGCTCTGGAAAATAAAGGGATAAAGATGCCTGCTGGGCATTCCATTCGGAGCTCTCCAGCGATTCCTCCCAGGGCTCTTCCTTGGAAAGAGGAGTTTCCCTGCAAGGATCACCCAGGGCTCGGAATCTGAGCAGGGAATTTTCCTCCCAGCACGTCCTTCTCGATTGCTGTCACCTCCAGAGTCCCTTCAGGCTTTGGGGAATTCCTTTGGTGCCGCTCCCAGGCTGAGCTGGGCTCACAGGGAAAGATCCAGCTGGGATGACCAGAGCCAGCAGCACGGGAATTGAACCAGCAGGAAAGTGGAGGAGGGTTGGAAGCACATCTGAGTCTGACACTCACCTTGCAGACCCTTTTCCATCTGGAGGAGACCCTTGGAAGGAGAGAATTGCATTTCCCAGCTAAGGAGCAGCTCCTTGCCCTGCAGAAGGGCCCTTCCAATGACCCATAAACCAGGGAGATGTGAGGAGGAGGGAGAGGCATCCAAGAAAAAAAAAAAACTGGGGAGAAAAAGGAGGAGGAAATCGAGGAAAGAAATAGGATGTGAGTCCTGGCTGTGCAACAAGTCCTTTGTGAGACAAATCAGCCTCTGCTGTGCGATAAATGGCCTGAGGCCAGGCTAGAAATGCTTATTGAGGGAGTCCTGGGAGAGGTGTGATGGAAGCACTAGGGACAAGGACTGCCTGGAGACCTTAAAACGACAAGACAGCTTTGATTTGGGACACTGATTCGAGGGAGCACACGGATTAGA